AGAGGACCACAATCCCCTCTGGGTCCTTTGGTTTGTTGTGGTGCGGTCTCGTCTCTGCTAACTGTAATATTGAGCTTCTTTGGCTTCTTGTTTCCAGAACGAGTCCAATAATTTATCGCATCCAAGAATTTAGCCAAATAAGAGCTCCATCCCTTAATAATATCTCTTAAATCAGCCAATGATATGTAATTTATCATGTTGTCATATACTATTGCCTTAAGGGATGGGATCTGAAGCTCGACGAGAAGCCAATGGTTACGTTCCAAAACAGGGATAAACACCTGCAATCATAAGTAATAATTCATTCATTTGCGCACTTATTTATGAATACCTTTAAACTCAATCTAAAATAAACACTAACCTTATCGACCTCCCACCATGCAGGATAAAGTTTAGCTTGTCCATTGCCCAACGCAAATGATTCATCTCGTTGATTCTTCAAGTGAACGGCGTTAAAAGACGTCGGCATAATTGAATATCGTGTATTTCTTTTATTTTCCTTAAGTTTCCTAATTATTAGAAGACGTGACACCCACGCATCGATATGCTGTTTTACAAAAAAAGACATATATTAGTAACTTACATAAATTTACAAAAAAATAATCAAATTAAAATATAAGAAAAATATAAGACTTACCCCTCCATCGAAATAGCCATTTTCTTCGACCCTTAATAATACGCCCCACCAAGACCGATCAAGCAATAAATAGATATCATCGTTGAGCTTGCATATGTCAGTGAAACACCCCTGGCTTCGCTCATGTAGATAAAAATCAAATGCGGTCTTAGCCCAAAGGGTGTTATCCAGAATTGTGTCCGGTAGTTGTTTCCTCTCCACTTCAGATACCGGTATGGTACTAGCTGGTAACTCATATGAGAGCCAACTTGAATCCATCATGTCCGGCACATCAGAGGGTTTCTCAAGAATCCTACATATGACGCCATGTGAATCGGGCTCTTGAATGGTGGGAGGGACCTCTTCAACGATGACAGTGGCCTCTTGAACGGTGGGAGGGGACTCTCGAGGAATGATAGGGGCCTCTTCAATGATAGGAGTGGACTCTTGAGGGATGAAAGGCGAGTCGGGCTTCTTCTTGCGGTGTCTTCGCACTATTGGGGTATACGGAGACTTAATAGCACGTGCACGCCGTCTGATGCGTGAACTCTGTCGTTCAAGAAAAACCAGACGTAAAGCATCCACCTTATCGGTCCGCTAAATAATTAAATACAAATATCAGTAAATAAACAGACATGATATTTAAACAGTGAAAACAAAGACAAATATATTTCAAACTTTCAACCAAAAGACAAAACAAAGACAAATACTAACTTCACAGTGTTAAAGAATACACAGTTTAGCAGAATTGGCAGCAACCGAATAAATTTACTTCAACCAAAAGACAAAACAAAAAGACAAATACTAACTTCACAGTGTTAATAAACAGTTTAGCAGTATTGGCAGCAACCGAATAAATTTACTAAGCAATCTAAGTGAAATGGTTAATTTAAGTGAAATTACGAGTAAATTTATCATCAAGTTAAATATGGAAAATCTTAAACTTACCTCGTTGCGTAGAGTATGAACCTCATTCTGCAACGATACTACCATCTCACGTAGAGCGGCAACCTCACCACGTAAAGTAGACACCTCCACACGCCATGCACCATCGTTATCGCGTAGAGTACCGATCTCCTCACGCAAGGCATTGACCTCATCACGTAACTCCCTTGACTCATCCCGTGGAGGTGGAGAACAGGGAGATAGAAGTCGTGGCATCTTTTCCGGTCGCCTATCATGAGGTGATGGTGGAGAAGAGGCTCGATGATGTGACGGGATAGGTGATGGCTCTCGTTGTAGAGGTGTATAGTCGGGTCGATCAGGTGATGGCTCTGGGTGAGGTGATGGCTCTCGAAGTGGAGGAAGTGGAGGCTGCTCATCATTCGTGCCATCAAGAAAATGCTGACTAGCTTGCCACCAATCAGTGGCAAGCTCAGCCTCCGTGGGTGTCAGTCTCATTAATGGAATGTTGGCCTCCTAAAAATATAAAAACTCAAACAAAGTTAAACGTCTACTATTAATAACTTGTTTATATATGATAGTATTTGTGTTAACTTACATTATTTATTGTCGCATATGGTATTAAGTCTTCCCAATCCAACAGATGTTTCCTCTTCCAGGAAATAGCCCTGGGAATATCATTTGAAGTTTTTATTGCATATGTCTTCATGGCGGGAAAGGCCTCGAATATCCAAATCTACAAACAATATAATAACAAACATTAGTAATTGTTAAATAATTAATTATAATTTTGAAAACATTATATAGAAATTCTTACCTTAAAGGCCCAAACAAAGCCTGACAAAGTGTATTTCGACCCATCGCCCCGCAAACTTTTGCGGTCATCAAAGGCAGACGACAACTTAGTCCAGGTAGCTTTCCATATATACGAACCCCACGGAAACAGATTCCATGCATTTAGGTCCTCTACCAATAATATTAGCTCCTGAGGAATAGGTTGTCTGGCCTCTCTGCCTAAAAAGCCGGCATACAAAAGTAGTAGAAGGCATACTCGGACAACATCGACGTCATTCATCCGAGTAAAATCATCTTTCTTATTAAACAATTTCTTCATGTCGTCGACGTGTAAGTTCGGCTTCTCTATTGACTCATCAGGAAAAACCCTGGATAACCATGATGGGCGGGTGATATGACGAGTGTACCGGCCTATATCATCGTGTCCGAATCGTAGACCAGTGATTAAGCAGAACTCCTTCCGTCCAAAACAAGTATACGCCGGTGGAAAATGAAACCATATCTCTTCCTCACCACGTTGTATATTGTCGGGTAGATCGCTAGTCATGGTCTGAAGCCACAAATGGGTCAAATTAGCATCTCCACCCGGATGTTGTACTCTCAGCCATGGCCCGAAGCAGGTTTCCTCAAACAATTTTCTTTGTGCAGGTGAAAGCTTCGAAGCAATTGTAGTGGCTAGGCTAACTTTATTCCTTAATGTCAATGAAGCCGAAAAAAATTTCTACAAAAACAATAAACATACCAAGTTAGATATACCAAAAACTACACTATCAAGATATACCAAAAACAATAAACATAAATAGTAGTTTATTCTTGAAACTAAAATTTGCAACACTGTTTTGTCTTTTGGTTGAAATGAAAATCGCAACGAGATAATGAGAATCGCAACGCGGAAATGACTATCGCAACGAGAGAATCGCAACGCGAAATGACTATCGCAACGAGAGAATCGCAACGCGAAATGAAAATCGCAACGCGAAATGAAAATCGTAACGAGAGAATCGCAACGCGAAATGAAAATCGCAATGCGATTTTGGTTTCGCGTTGCGATTCTTTCGTTGCGATAGTTATTTCCGCGTTGCGATTTTCATTCTCGAAACTATTCTTCTTCTGCATTACTTCAACCAAAAGACAAAACAAAGACAAATACTAACTTCATAGGCTAAACAGTTTAGCAGTATTGGCAGCAATCGAATGAATTTAATAAGAAATCTAAGTGAAATGGTTAATCTATTATTGAAATTACCAGTAAACTTATCATCAATCTCAATATGAAAAACCTAAAATAATGCAAAAATTTCAAAATAAAAATAAAACAAAACTAACCCTCGGAGGTTGATTTTCCATTTATGAATGATTGTGAGGGATTTTTGACTGTGAATGGTTGTGAGGGATTTCGCCGGCGATGGGGACGGAAATCTTCGGAGATGGGGACGGATTTCGCCGTAGAGAGTGAGAGATGGAGATGGGACTGAGTGTTGTGATTTTGGGTTTGAGGTTATGAGTTGCGATTACTGTGGACGGTTCAGTTTCCGATTTATTAAGAAAAAATTCGTGTTTGGAATTTGAAAAAAAAAATACGCGTTAATACGAATGGCGCTATGTAAATCGCGTTGCGAAAGTCAGAATCGAGTTGTGAAAGTCAGTATCTCGTTGCGATTTTGTATTATCGCATTGCGATAGTCAGTATCGCATTGCGATTTTCCCAATTTGCGTTGCGATTTACTTATTCGCATTGCGAATTGGGAAAATCGCAACGATACTGTAGACCATCGCAACGCGATTTTCAACTATCGCAACGCGAAATGCAACGCGAATTTACGATAATGGAGATCGCATTGCGAATTAGCGATCGCATTGCGATTTTGTTGGTCATTTTGGTAAATCCGGAAAAAGTTGGTTAAAATCGTATATTATATGGAATTTTTTGTCACTGAGGTTATTTTCTCTTTACTTATTACCGTAAATAAACGTCAAATAAATATTCACAAATTTTATTATAAAAATATTTATACCAGACAGAAAACAAAGCACCTGATATTAAAAACTTGTCCCCCCCGCCCCGGATGTTGGAATTACATCTTCTTCTTCTTCTTAATCCCATAATCCAACAAAAAGAGAACCACACCTCTCTCTCTCTCTTTCGAGCTTCAGGCAACTCTCCGACGTTATAACAAAAACCAGTTCAGTTTCCAACATATGTCAGTTAAAGCTCTGTCATTTTAACAAACAAAAGAGTTGTATACGGTCTTCGTAAGTTTTTTTTTCTCCGTTAAACCGTTTGGTGATTCATATCCGTTTTGCAAACTCTTGTTTTTTTTAGAATGCTCTTTATTTTATCTTCCAATTAGGTGTTAATTGATTCCCCATTGGTGACGCTGTATAGAGTCTCTCCTCCATAGTTTTTTCTATTAATATCCCCTTCATTTTTCCCGAGAAAATGACGGAAAATGCAAAGTTGGTAAGCATAATATTTCTGGGGTTTCCCTTTTCTTCAAATATTTCCCTTTCTTTCTTCTTTCTTGTAACTGTTTAAATTGGTTTTTATTAATTTCTCAAAGTTTTGATTTTATTTCTGTTTCTGGTCCTGAAATTCGGTGATAGGAGTCAGAAGAGAATTCAGTTTCGGATCATATAAATGCAGATACACCCGATAGCTTTGTTATCGACATGGAAAGTTTTGTATCCAATAAAGAAAATAATCCAAACTCAAGATTCCCAGTAAGTTCTATTTCCATGGAAAGTTTTCATTTACTTTTCAATCATTTTCTTGTTAACTGAAAAAGAATACTTTTCTCTGGCAGAGAAGCATTTCTCGCAAAGGGTTACTTCGAGGTGATAAGAAGAATGTTAATAATTCCAATTCTACTTCCATTGCCAGTGATCATAGAGATTCTTTTGTTTCCAGCTCCTCCACTCCTGGAGGTACAAACTTTTTTCCCTTACAATGCACATTAATTGCTTACATTCTACCTTGCTCCATTTTCACTGTCTTTTCTTCATTTGCTCGTTATTGGAACTTTCGCCGGGAAAGATTTTCCCTTACAAATTCACATTATTTGATTTTCTTAACCCATACCATAATGCAGACAACAGATATAATAAATTAAGATTTTGAACACTTTTAGTGGTTTTCCATATTGTAGATTTTAGTAGTTTAATACACTAATTTCCATCACCAACCTGGACCAGCCTGAGTTTCCACTTTGCCATACATCTGGATAGATGAATCTAATTATTGTAAGTGATCAATCATGAAACACAGTTTAAAATTATTAAAACTGAATATCTAGTAAATATATTTGAAAATTAATTTAGTGAGGATTTTTGGAATGATAAAAAAAAATTTGAGGGGCCACACTCTTCTGACCTCATTACGGTACACCCCTTATCATCATCATCAATATTAGTTTGTTTCTAAGATTCTCAATAATGGATATTCTAATTTACTTCTGGCATAAAAATTGTTCTGAGTTTTTAAAGTATTAATATTCAGTAATTGGATCATTTCATTACTGTGAATGTTGAATATTGATTCAAATATAACGTGAAGCGTATTCAAAAAAAGAATCAAATCGTAAACGAAAATGTATTTATTAGACAAACGATTCATATCTAATTTGTTAAAAAAGAAAGAAACATAGATTGACATAGTTTACTTTTTCAATATCTAGGCCGAGGAAATGATCTGATTGATAAAATATTTATATTTGAAAGCTCAACTGGAATGTTACTAAATTTAATGAATAATTTAGAATATATGTCACAGTCCGAGGATATCTTGTGCAATTCATCCTAATTTAACTTGCATTAAACTAAGAAGAGGTCCTGCAGGGCAGTATAGCTGTTAATTTGCATACTAATATGACAGGGTCACCGGAAAATCTCACAGCAGTGACCGAGGAGTCCGGCGTTCATCCGAGCAATCGACAGATCAGCTTTACATCAAACAATATCAGTGCTGCAACTGAAAGCAGATTGATGATGAGTTTAAGGAGAAATAGTATGAAGCGATCTCCTCCACCATGGCTACTAGACCCCAAGAGGATTCTCTTGTTCTTCGCCACATTGTAAGTTTTCAAGCCATGACTACAAGTTTTTAAGCTATTATTACGCATTGAAAGTGAGAATTTTTTTTTCTATTTTCTGTTGACAGGTCCAGCGTGGGTACAATTTTGCTGATATACTTCACCTTGTCAATTAGTGGAACCAATACAGATGGGAAAGTGTCAAATTAGTTGTTGTCGTTAAAATTACCATGTTATATTCCTTTTCGTTGTTTTTATTATATATAATCAGAATCTTATGAAAATCTAATCAATAATGTTCAATCAATAGTAAATTTACATATCAAATTTACAATTACTTCAAAAGACATTTCACATGAACAACTAATGATATTATCAATTTGGATATAAAAATATAATAACCCATGGTATCAAATTAAAGTGGAAGTGAAACATCAAATTTCAGTATAATAGAGGGATTATAATCAGTATTGGACCCATGCATTCTTTTTTAGTTTTGGGTATCGGGAAACAAGGTTTTTTTTGGCCCAATAAGGCACTCGTTGTAATTATTTGGCCCAACAGGACACCTCAAAAATTAATTTGGGATCTATTGTATTTTTTACAGTCTAGAGCGAATTCATCATATCGAGGTGATGAGTTCTATTGAAAAAATATATATTTTTTTAGATTATTATGTGAATTTAATGTTGGAAAGAAAAAAAATACATAGGAACTCATCACGTCAAGGTGACGAGTTCTGTTAGATTTTTTTCATCTCCGAAATGTGGTAGATTATGTTGAAAAGAACAATAAACTATGAACATTAGATTAGACTTTCAGAAATGCACATTATGAAGAAAAAAAACTACAAAATTAATACATTAAAATAAGGACGTAAATAAGACAATTTCAATCAATAAGTCTATTCTTGATCAACATAAGGATTATCAGCCTGATCGATATCTTGAGAGATGTGAACAGTGTTTCCTATTGTGGCCTTCACCTCTGCAGTGGCCATATAGCTTCTGGAGACCTTGCTCTCTTTGAGAGTTATCCGTATTAGTATTTTTTTTACTAGATTCAGGACAACCCCTCAACTTCCTTCGTAATTGCGGATTAGACAACCATTCTTCAGAGACATTAGGTGGCCAATATGCATCGTTATGGAGATACTTAAACTCGTAACTGTATATGTTGTGCATAGTATGCAAGCTATTACAATCATCAACGTTAATGTATGAGTCTACATTCACATGCATACATGCAGCAACCACGTGAGCACATAGGTATATGAAGGCTTGAAATCAACCACAATCACACCATCTTCTATTTAGATTACCAGTATAGGTGGCAGAAGTCCCACCCTCATATGGTCGAACAAGTGCTTGGACAATATAATCAAATTTTAGTCTGGTGAAATTACGAACATACATTGATGTCGCATGAGTTTGATTTTTGGTCATTGCTTTCTCTAGATCTAGAGCCCAATTTCTACTTTCGTTGAGCATTACCTCTACATGGGCACTTTTGTCTACCCAAACTTTACCCAATCTGAAGTATGTCTCCCGAACAATACTTGCCACTGGAAGATGTCTATTCTCTTTTAGCATTGAATTGATACAATCGGCAAGATTAGTTGTCATATGACCATAACGTCAACCTTGATCATCATATGCATGTGCCCATCTTTCTCGGGGTATCTCAACTGCAAAGTTATACACCTCATCTCCATACTTTTTCAGATTTTCAATCTTGCACGAAAGCTCAGTTGTAGCAATGCAAAGCCTGAAAAATAGTTACATGTAAGTATAATAATTTTAAATGAAGACTAAGACCAAAAAACGAAGGGTAAAACTAAATAAGTTACCCATATTGATAATATCTTTCTTTATCTTTTTATTCTTGAACCTCGTCATAGCATTTGAAGCAATATGGCGTATGCAATACGCAGGAAATGCATGCGGAGGCGACCACATACTTCCCAGCCTGTCAATTGTGGCCAACAACCCATGTGAACGGTCTGAGATCATACAAATCCCATCTTGAGTGACAACATGGGAGTGCAAGTTTGATAGAAAGAAATTTCACGTTTCCTCATACTCATTCCTAACAATGGCGAAGGCAATGTGGAATATGTTTCTATCACCATCTTGTGCAACAGCTATCGTAAGGACGTGTTTGTATAAGCCGCACATAAAAGTGTCATCCACCTGAACCATCTATTTGCATTAACTAAAGCCTTTAATTTGTGACTTGAAAGCCCAGAACAAACCTCCGAAAACTCTCTTCCCAGGGATAACTTGTTCATCTAATGCGGTTGCAAGATAAGTGTAGGAGCGAACAATGGTCCCTGTAATGAAATATTCCATTGCGTGCAACAAATGTGGCAGCTCATTGTACGACTGATCCCAATCACCGTATAATAGTGTCATAGCTTTCCGTTTGGCCATCCAAGACTTGTAATAAGATGGAATATACCCAAATGTATTTTGTATTGATGCCACAATCATTGATACCAGGATTCTTGGATTTTTTTATCCACCAGTAGCTTCACGTATGCACAAATGACATCGAAATCTATGTGTTTGTGGTCTTTTGTTAAGGAGTTGAACGTGCAACTGTGCTGGTTGTGGAACCTTGTCACTTCCCATAACATCTTTAGCTATAGGTATGAGACACGTATCCTCCACTTACACCCGACGTTGTTGTTAATACATCTGCTATTAATATGTGTGAGTTGAAAGCCATTTTACTCTACTATTGAAGCAAAAAAAAACCCCAAAACACCTTCAATCTTTCACTTCCAAAGCTTGAGTTTTTTTAAACATGTCAACTATTTATTCAACTATTTACGTCCTTATATTAAAGTATTAAGTTTATAGTTTTTTTCTTCCTAATGTGCATTTATGAAAGTCTAATCTAATATATTAAGTTTGTACTTCTTTTCAAAAAAAATCTAACAGAACTCGTTACCTCGATGTGACGAGTTCAATTGTATTTTTTTTCTTTCCAACTTTAAATTCACATAATAATATGAAAAAAAATATTTTTTAATAAAACTTGTCACCTCGAGATGGCGAATTTTACAGGAAATATTAAATTATTGGGCCCGAAATATAAAAATTATATTTCATGAAACTTGTCACATCAACGTGACGAGTTCATCATAGAATGTAGAAGATGCCATAGATCCCAATTTAATTTTTCAGGTGTCCTATTGGGCCAAAATATTACGGTGGGTCCCCTATTGGGTAAAAAACGGTGAAACAAGGACAAGTCAGCCCACCAATTTGGCCTAACAATAGTGTTAAGGAGCCTCACTAATACAATTGGGCTGAAAATATTATAAGGTTGGCAGTGGACAGCCTTTTAGAATAGAATCTAAAAATGGTATAGATCGAGTGCTGATTTAAATACCTATTTTATTACTTTTTGTTATCATTAGATGCTGATTAGTGGAAAGTGGTAAAATAAGCTTTAAAGCTAATTAAGGACATGAGTTGTCAAACGATGACTTTACAGCATAAACAAGATATATTTTTTCAAACGAGGAAGCTTTTATATCATCAAGCATAACATTTACCTTTACGTTCTTGTTGGTAAATGTATTATTATTTTGAGGAGAAAAATAAATTTAACAACGTAATACTTATATTATACTTTGAACGAAAATACTATCTATGGTATGAGAAATTGACAATTGATTAGTTCTAATATCATAATAGATTATTCGATAACGACAAGAAACTAGCTATAGAAAGATGAAAACTAAGAGGATTGTGTTAAAAGTTAAGGAGAAGAAGAAAAAGATATAAATAGTACATTCCTTTATTTGATTGAAAAATTAACTTTACATTTATACTCTCACCTCAGCTGACCAATCAGTAACCAACTATATATGGTTTACTCAATATGGTGAATATATTTTATACAAGAAACCTTGTAAGCCCTACTTTATGATCACCATAGTTTTGAACATCCTCTCGGACCTGTTGTCTATATTCTTTAAAGCTGAACCTTCTATAAACCGAGGGCTTGCGGCAACTCTCTATCACAGTCTCATACGATGGGCAAAGGAAATATGCAGCCGAGTACCTTTCTTTTGTCGGATTTGTCACCACACAATGTTGCACACTTTTATAACGATCATTGCTCCATGCCTGCAGAACAAAAAGCCAATTATTTAGCATGAAAAGCGTCGACAAATCACTGTTGTAATTACAAATGATTTGAAATTACCTGAAATAAATCTCCAATGTTGATGAATAAAGCATCGGGATTAGGCTGAACTGCAATCCATTTGCCATCTTTCATTAACTGCAATCCTCCGATTTGGTTTTGGTGCAATACGGTGAGGAAATTGCTGTCTGTGTACGGCATTAGACCGAACAACTGGACGGGGCACGGCGGGTATCGGTTCAGCTGGAGATAGCAAGTGCTCAACAATGAATTCTCTTGGAAGAAAGTGTAGTTATGACCTGATTTCTCTGCCAAAATTTGGGCTAACTCCTGAGCAAGATTCGCAACTTTTGTGGCAAACAGTTCCACCGATGAACTTCAAACGAGATTACGGGTACTTTAGAGTTTAGACATTATAATTTATATCCAGAAATGAAATGAGTAATAATAATAGAATTAGTGCTTAGTTTTCTACATAACGAGATAAAAAGTAGAATCTCCCAAGTATGAGGAAGTGGGTCCAAATTACAATCCAGTAGTTAGTAACAATAATATAAATCATGTATTAAGAAAATGGAACCCTTCAATGAGCAAAGTTCAATGTGCTCGTCTGATATAATATTTCAAAAGTTTAGATCAGGACACTTTTTGCTACATCAATAACAAAACTATAGCTAAGCTACGCCGACATGCAATCTCAGCAGCTATATTCATTGTCTCAATCCTAAACA